ACCTGGAATACCAGGCACAGGAGGAATGTCTTCAAGAAGCCTCCACAGCCAGCGGTGGGCATGGAGAACAGGCTCAGCACGTCCCACCCTCAGGGACCCAGCCCGGCCCACCCTCACGGGCCCAGCACGCCCCACCCTCAGGGGCCCAGCACGGCCCACCCTCATGGGCTCAGCACGCTGGACCCTCACGGGCCAATATGGCCCACATTCATGGCCTCGCCCAGCTCCTAGGGCCATCGGGGCAGCGCTCATGTAGCCCTTGTTCCCGTGGGCCCGTTGCCCCACGTGGCTCTGCACACTTGTCCCCATCCAGGTCCATCCGCAACAGAACAGAATCACGCCACACCCCTCACAAGGCCTCCCAGGAGAGGAGTGCGCCTCCCAGCCGAATGCCTGGCCCTCCACCGGCATCTGCTCTCGAGCCCCACACCACCAGCTCCTGCCTCTTCCAGACCACGCTCTCTTTCTCTTCCTCAGAGCCCCAACTATGAATGTCCTGGCATCACTCCTGCCCTGAACAGCCCACCCCTCGCTCCAGCTCTGCCTGTGTCCAGAAGACCACCCCCTACTCCCTGACCCCGGCTGCCCCAGACCTCACCCCCACCATAAGCCTGTTCCCACTAGGTCAGCCACTTCCCTCATGGTCTCACCATGAACCACAGCCCACGTGACTCGTCTCGAGGCGACCCCAGTGCCTCTGAATCCTTTCCTGCTTCTTCCTGACATACCCAGCAGCCTCCGCAGCTGCTCCCGCATGGAGCTGGCCCCAGTGCCTACTACCTCGGCTCAGCCCTTCTCACGGAACACTTTCAGCCTCCAGGAGCCCCCCACCAAGCCCTGGCTTACTGGACCCCAGTTCACCTCAGCTGCTCCCTCCCTCACCAGCTGCCGAGGCTTGGCTCCCCCATCTCCATCTCATTCAGTCCTGACCTTGGTAGGTCAAGTCTGCACGTGAGACTGAGAGGAACCACTGGGGCAAAAAGTGGAAAGTTTGTAACTTCCAGACTAACAGAGAGAAGAGAAATGGCACAATCAAAATAAAAATCAATTCAAAAGACAGCAAGAAGAACGACCAAAAAGTACTGGCTTCAAAAGGCTGGCACTCTGGTCTGAATGCGATTTATTTGTTGAGGTTGGGGGCCCCATTGAGGTTGGGGGGCCAGGCCTTTAAGAGGCGATGAGGCTGTGAAGATGGAACCACGCCTTTCTGAAAGGCAGGGTCAGCCCCCAGGAATGGACCGCTCCCGTGTGGGCGGCCTGGTCCACAGCAAGGCTGTGCTGGAGCGCCTCCCTCTTGGCGGGTTCCTGGCTGTGTTCAGCCACAGTTCAAGGGCCTCACCAGAAGTCACCAGAGGCGGCCCCTCGACCTTGGGCTTCCCAGCCTGCAGAACTGTGAGAAATAAATTTATTTTCTTTATAAATGACTCGGTCTCAAGTATTCTGTTACAGCAAGAGAAAATGGACTGAGAAAACTAGAAATTAAAACTACAATATAAGACATTACGTATAAAGGACTAAAAGTTCCTATTAAAATACCAAGATGGTTAGACTAAATTTATAAAAATCAAGTTCTATGTTTGAAACACATATATCCAAAAACGAGGGAAAAAGGTCAGAAAAAAAGGAGGGAAAAATCATTCCAGATAAATAGTAACAAAACACCATCAGTTACGACTCCGGAAACGGGGGACAGCCTGAGGCAGCTGCACAGCGGGTGGGTGTGAGCACAGCAGACGGCGCGCCCCGTCACTCTCTCCTTCCCGGCCCTAAGAAAGGCAGAGACAGGTGCGGTCTGAGGGGACAGGTCCATCCCAGAGAGTGGGGCCCAGGGGCCCCAACAAAACAGCCAGGCCCGCAGATCACCCTGCAGATGACAGCCCTCGGCAAGCAGGAGCTACCACCGGCTTTTTAGTAGTTTACTTTAAATATAAACAGGAATCACTGGGCATTTGAGGAAAACCTTTAGATAAGAAAAACTAAAACAAACAGAGCAGCATAAAACTTCAGAGTAACCATAATATCATCAGAGAACTAAGGGAAGAACAAGAGCCTACTGAAAGAGG